GAAGTCTTTGCCGGTGGAGGAAAGTAGTTCTTTCTTATTGCTCTTTGTCTCCATCTCAGGCTCCTTTTTTTGTTGCCAATGGTCTTACCTCCTTATTTCCCATTCGTCCTCTGCTACCAACTCCACCTAATCCACCCAAACAGGTTCGTGTAGTTGCAAAGAACTCCAAGATTATCCTTTGTCCAAATCTTCTCTTCGATTAATTTGCAAAGCCCTAAGGTTAGTTTTCGGGGTAGACACTCCAATACCTAAATAAGCAATAATCAGGTCTACTAAAAAGAAAACAAGAGGAAGGTTTGAGATAAGTTTTAATTACCCTTTGGAAAGCACCCATAGAGGGTATTTAGAGGCTTCAAAGGGGTGTCCACACATTCTTTCATGCGGAAAACCGAGATCATATGTGCTAATCATCGCAGAAATATCTCATATAAAATTTGAGTATATACGAAGTTATTGTAAAGCCAATATAGAAGGGAAGAGCTCGACCTCATCTGAGTTCATCCTACTTGTGTGAACCTCGAGGTCATGCGTCCACAATGTTTTGCTCATTCGAGGTAAATGACCTCAGACTATCTTGCTCGAGGTAAATGACCTCGAACTATCATCACAGTTCGCTCCCCCAATTTTCTTCTTACTCTTGAATTTCCTTCAAAATTTCTTAAATTTCCTAAAAGATGGGCAAAATCCAAACCTACAAAGCTATGCACAGGATCTATTTGGGTTTAGTTTTTGGGTTTCAAGATGAACCTAGTTGTAGGATTCCATAACAAACCCATATCCCTTGTGAACCTAGATTTTTGGGTTCGTAGGAGGAACCCTTCTATATTCCTTCAACCAATATATATATTTTTTATTTTTCTTTATTATTTTAAACTCAAATTAAACCTTTTTGGTGTGGTGGTTGTTAAGCTTCAATCTCTTTGAATTTTGGATTTGAATGGAGGATGATTTTTGTCTTTTTTTTTTTTTTTGTTTGGATGATGAGAGTGCAATCAATTTGTTTGGAAACAGAAACAAATATGAATGGTAGAGGATTTAAGCTTTTGCACATCTCATTCCAAACTGCAAGAATCTAATTTTTTAAATAGTGTATAACAAAGGTTGACGAACCGAGGTGTATGTTAATCAACGTCCTTCTTATGTGTCTTATGATAA